TCATCATTCTTATTCTGGTTGTACCATTTTGAGTAGTATGTTCACAATAGATGGAGAAAAGAGTGAAGTTGTTAATGATTTACTTGGATCCACAATCAATGCTCAATGGTAGCAATCATCACAAACATAAAAGACTCGTTACATTGGGCAAATGTGCTGTGTAGGATCCCTCCAAAGTGGAAACGAGCAAGGTTGTCAGTTTGAAGAGTAAAGTGTGCCTGAGACAAGCCAGAGTATTTTCAATTGCTCCTTACACATCTGAAATTTGGACAATAAATATGTGCTCAACGAGAAACTTAAAAACCCAAACGCCCCCAAAACCACCCAAAACCACTTGGAAGGGTCTTTTGCAGCAGATTTGCCCCACCCTATGGGCCCTGATTATGAATGAAATCCTTGACTTCACTATTTTCTGTATTTACCATGATGTTGCTTATTGGCTCAGTTGTAAATATTTTTATTTTCTTTGTGTTGACATGTAATCCAAACTGAAGGTTATGTTGTTGTTAGGTGCAGCTGAGCAGACTATGACTCACAGCGACCCAATGATGAACAGATTTGAACCTTGCCTATCCTGCACCATCTTCTGAAGGTTCTAGTCTGATTTTCAGTACAGGCTTCAAGTCCTCTTCACTTTCAGCAGTCAAGGTTGTATCATCTGTACAGTGTAGGTGGTTGTGAAGTCTTCCTCCAATCTTGATGCTACATTGTTCATATACGCCAACTGTTTGGATTATTTGCTCTACATACAGACTGAATATGTATGGTGAGTATATACAACCCTGACATGCACCTTTCCTGATTTTAAGTCAAGTAGTATTCCTTTGTTCAAATAACTGCTACCACATGGCCGAGGACCTCCACTCTTAGGTCTACACTCAAGACACTTGAAAACAATAACATGAACACCAGTGTTCACTGCAGCGCTATTCACAGTAGCCAAAAGAAGCCACTTAAAACCTATCAACAGATGAATAATGTAGTCAATAAATACAATGGAATATTGCTCTGCCACTAAGAGAAATGAAGGTTCAATTCATAGCACAATATGGATACACCCTGAAAACATTAGGCTGAGTAATATAAGCCAATCATAACTTGTAAAACAAAATAAATCTATAGAAATCAGTTTGGTGGTGGTAACCAGGGACAGGAGGGAAGGCAAATAGTGAAGGAGGCACAGAGTTTTTGCTGAGGAGGATAGAAAACCTGGCAAAGGACATTAGGGATAGTTGTACAACATGATGTACTTATTGTCACTGGACTGGCACATGTGATGCTATCTGTATTTTTACAATTCTTTTAAGAAAAGCTTCTAGCATGACCTGTTCAATGACACACTGCCAGCGTCCAGAATGTGCCTAGAAAAAACTAGGTGTTCAATAAATATTTGTTACTTGAAAACCTGAACTGTGAAAAAGAATGTCTAAATATACTCTGAGCATTATAACTTTATAGGTTTTACCAATCTAAAATGTAGGAAATTATTAAATTTACTTTGAGTATCTACACTGGCTTTTGGTTTAGCCTAACAATAAGACTGCAAAGACAAAGTTTAATAACTTCATTGCATTTTGAGTGGATACTGTTCAGTGATAATGGTTACATTTTTCAGGTTGTATACACATTTCTATTATTTTTGTTCTACTTTTTCTGGCCCCATTAATTTTATCTGAATCTCCTAAAAGCTCATCTATGCTTTATCCTATTTGTTGGCCTTGTAGTTTCACATACAGAGTTTTCCAAAACAGCACAACACCCAAGAGTGATCCTCACTGCTTTATGAATTAACCTGCTATTTAGGTAGCAGCTTCAAGGTTTAACATATGTCCCAGAATAAGTGTCAGGGATTCCTCCTTTTTCAGTGGGTCACTAAGGTTGGAGTTCTGGAAAATTTGATGTTCTGTTCCACATTTTTTTTTTAATCAAGAGGCACCATCCAGGTCTTCTGGTTTTGGGAGTTTGTGTGTGTGTATATGTGTCTGTGAGAGATTAATATCTTTTCATATCTCTTGCTCAGCCAGTCTTTTTCCTATTGTGTGTAAGAAAAAAATTGTTAGCTACTGACTGGAACAGGACATCAACAGAGAATTGCCAGAAGGGCAGGCTGGGTTTAGAAGGGGTCGTGGTACGGTACTAGGGATATTGTAGCTAATGTTAGATGGATTTTGGCTGAAAGCAGAGTATACCAAAGGAATGTCTATCTGTGTTTCATTGACTATGCAAAGGCATCTGACTGTGTGGATTATAACAAACTGTGGCTGACTCTGAGAAGAATGGGAATCCCAGAACACTTGATCGTGCTAATGTGAGCACAGCAACACTGCATGGTTCAAAATTGGGAAGGGTGTATACCAGGGATGTGTCCTATCTCCATACCTTTTCAACCTGTATGCAGATTATCCAGGAGGCTGGGCTCTATGAGGAGAAGTGTGGCATCAGGATTGGAGGAAGACTCATCAACAATCTGCATTATGCAGATGACACAATCCTGCTTGCTGAAACTGAGGAGGACCTGAAGCGCTTGCTGCAGAGGGTCAAGAACTGCAGCCTTCATTATGGATTGAAGCTCAACATCGAGAAAACAAAGATTCTCACCACTGGACCAACTGGCAGCATCATGATGGATGGTGAAGAGATTGCAATTGTTAACAGCTTTAGTTTGCTTGGCTCCACAGTTCAGTCTTGGCACCAGTAGCCAGGAAAGTAAAAGACGTATTGCGATAGGAAAGTCTGCTGTTACGGACCTTTCCAATGTACTGAGGAGCAATGGTGTCAGTCTGGAGACTAAGGTGTGCCTGATACAGGACATGGTCTTTGCAATCACTTGCTTTGCATCAGAGAGCTTGACAATGATTAGGGGAGGATAGGAGAATTGATGTCTTTGAGCTGTGGTGTTGGATAAGAGGACTATATCATGGACTGCTAAGAATACAAGCAGGTTCAACCTGGAGAAGGTTAAACCAGGCTGCTCCTTGGAGTCAAGGATTCTGAAGCTTCATCCGACATATTAGGACATGTTGCAATGCGGGACCAGTCCTTGGAGAGGGACATCATGCTCGGGGGTGGAGGGACAGCGCAGGAAGGGAAGACCCTCTATGAGGTGGATTGATTCAGTGACTGGGGTAATGGGGATGGGTGAGTTGGAGACAGTGAGGCTGGCACAGGACAGGGCAGGGTTTAGGGCCATTGTACACTGGATCGCTATGAGTCACAGGCAACTCGATGGCCCAACAAGAAGAAGTGATGTCTTCTGGTGATGTCTCGAGTTCCTTCTGCCCTTATATACAGAACAAGAAACATTACCTGGCTTTACACCATCTTAACAGATGGGGTTTGAGTCCACTGTTACAGCCACAGTCAATACAACTCACTGACAGGCGTCCTTTTTCTCACTGACTCTCTACTTGACCAAGTATTATGTCCTTTTCCAAATACTTGTCCCTCCTGATATTATGTTTTAAAAGGGCATTCTTTGTTTCTCCCAAAAATAGATTTATACATTTTTATGAATAAATATCCTTTGTCAACACTATGGTATAAACAAATAAAATTATTTAAAGAAACCAATCCTTGGTTCATTATATGCTACAAATGTTTTCTCTAAGTTTGTTTTTTGCAGTCATATTATGGATCTTTTCCTTTATGCTTTTTGGCTTGAGGCTTCTCAGAAAGTTCTTTTCTATAGGACAGTAGGGAGTTGCACTGCGAACCCAAAGGCACCCGGTTCAAATCTACTAGCTGCTCTGAGGGAGAAAGATCAACACTCTCTTCTGGGTGAGTCATAGCCTCTGAAAACTTGAGGTGGTTCCAACTTGGTGGCACATAATAATAGCAATATATATACATTAAAATGTGCCTTTAGGTTTTTGATTCATCAGGGATTTATTCTAAGAGAGAAAGAGTAAGGAAGTGACCTAGTTTTAAAAAGCAAATTTAGCTTTAAAATACAATGAATATAATGATATTCCTAGATAACATTTATATGAGGAGAAATGTGGGGTCAAGACTGGTGGACGATTTATCAACAACCTGCGTTATGTGGATGACACAACCCTGCTTGCTGAAACTGAAGAGGACCTGAAGCGCCTACTGCAGAGTGTCAAGGACTGCAGCCTCCAATATGGATTGAGGCTCAATGTCAAGAAGACAAAGATTCTCCACCAC